AGCACGGTCTCCAAGCAGCACCCCGGCCACCACCCACAGCAGAATCCCCGAGCTGTCTACTGGGACACCAGTGTCTGTCCACACCCTCCGCCGTTGGGAGGCCTCTCCTCTAGGTCATGTGACAACACCCACAACCGCCTACCCCTGGGCCTGGCCTTGACCTCTCCTGGCATTGGAGAGAACGCTAGACCCAATGACTGTGCCACTGTCAACAATTTCACCCCAGACACACATTCTCAGGGGAATCAATACTCGCTTTCAGGCTATTCCACAGTAGGTGGGGTGCTCTGGTCACACATGCATGCTCACCTGGTGCCCATCAAGGTGCCCAGGCCCTAAGCACAGCGTGTCAGCCCTGGCCGTGTGTCAGGCAGAGAAGCGCAGGCTGCAGATCCACTGGAGACGCCACAGAGGCAGCGGGAAGTAGGGGTCTGCCCTCTGGCTTGGGGCTTCCTCAGTGACGGGGGCTGGGAGGTTTGGATCAGCCCTGCCTCGCTGTCCACGAGCCCGAGGAGCCCTTCCCACTGAGCCTGGTCTCTGCTCAGTGACAGGGTGACGGGCACCACCTCCAGCTCTGACCCCAGGGCCTCCAAGCACGTGGCATCGAAACAGCGACTTGTCTGCCGGCTCTAGCCTTGGAGTGAGCGGCAGAACGTCTCCGGGTATCACTACTGTGACGGTTTCTCCTGAGAACAAAGCAAGGCTCCCGCTGCGAGGGTTTTGTTGTCAGAAGGTACATTTTTGGGTCAGAAGACCTAGGAGAACTTCCAGTGGATGTTTAGGGTTTTGGTATTTCTACCCCAAGGCCGGGGTCTGGGAACCCCCAAGTTTTCCTTCCTCAGAGCTATGAACATGGCATGGATGGTCCGGCTGAGGACTGGCGCTGAGGAGGGAGCCCCGCACACGGCGCTGTGAGGTGAAGACCTTCTCGGATGGGGCAAGGTGGGTCCTGGGCACATGCCTTCCTGGTCCCGCAGGTGGAGGCCACGGCCCGGAGGGTGACATGCAGCTGGGGGGACATGGGTGTGGTGGGGACGGGGCTGGCGGCCTGCTCCCCTCTCTCTGGGCTGGGGGTGCCCCGAGGAAGCACATTTAATTTTGTTGAAGATGCTTTGTTCTTAGTTCTGGGAGCTGTTGGTGACACATGGTGAATGTTTTGCCCAAAGATAATTTAGGATTGAGTGTTCCACAAGTTTTCTGGGCACTGTTCCCGTGCCTTCCCGTTATAGTCGGGCACATAACAGGTCTTCGCTCCTTAGACACTTCACCTTATTTCCAAGGGAAGCCACAGTTCTTTCCAGAGACTCCGCAACGGCCAACTCTGGTGTCACAGCACTGAGTCTCCGCTCTAGGTTGCCACGCCCTCAGAGTCCCCCAAACAGGAGGTGGGACTCCGTGAGGAAGAAGGAACATCTCACGTCTGCTTAGTGTGAGATCATGAGCACAGCACAGGGCGTGTGGGCACGGGGGCGTCCCGGGGGCTGTCAGGGCGGCAGGTGCTCACTGTGACCAACAGTGTCGTGTGGGCAGGGCTGCTGACCCAGATGGGGGCCTGGAGGACAAGCAGCAGAAACCGAGCCTTTACATGTCATCATGTAAGCTGTGAGCAGCTCTATAAGCCAGGAAGACACCCATGTCCTGCCCCGTGACCGTGGCTGTCACCTCCTGTGGCAGGAGGGCCGTGCAGGTGGAATGAAGGTAAGGACCCTGAGCTGCGGAGTCCTGGCTACAGGGGGCCCAGTGCGGTCACAGGTCCTCCGGTGAGGGAGGCCGGAGGGTCGGAGGTGGTGATGGAGAAGGACCAGAGTGATGGCTCTGAGGATGGAGGAGGGGCATGGGGACAAGCTGAAAGGGCGTGAGGGATTCTCCCTGGAGCCTCCATAGGAACCAGCCCACCAACTCCTGCACCTCAGCTCCCCCAGACCCCAAAACTCATCCTGTCTGACTGTGCAGAGCCAGGCGTTAAGAGGGATGCCCTAGCACCAGGTCTGGAGCCTTCTGTGGAGGCCGGGCCCCCTCAGGGTGGGAGGGGCTCTTCCTAGAAGTCCCTCAGTCCCACCCAGAGCGGGTGAAGTGGTGCCTGTGATTGGTTATGCGTGCTGCTCTCCAGGACGAGGCCCAGAGCACGTCATGTTCTTCTTGCTGCCTCCATCTCCCAGTCACGCTGGCAGCAGCACTTTCACACAACAGCCACTCATGCCAGAATAATGGACGCGCAGACCTCCCAAGGGTTGTGCCCCAGCCGTACCCATGTTAACAGCACCATAGTCACAACAGCCAAGAGGAGGAAGCAACCCAGTGTCCACTGGTGGAAAGGTGGATAAGCCCAATGTGGTCCATTTGCACAGTGGGATGCTGCCCAGCCTTAGAAAGGAAGGAGATTCAGACACATGCTATATGGATGAACCTGGAGGATATCATGCTGAGCGAAATAAGCCAGTCACAACGGGACAAATACCATAGGATCTGCTTATGTGAGGTGCCTGGAGCAGTCAACATCACAGAGACAGAAAGTGGACAGTGGGTCCCAGGGGCTGGGGCAGGGGGCACTGGGGAGCTGTTTCATGGGGACAGATGGTGGTGGCGGCTGCACACCACTCTGAGTGTACTTAGTACCACAAAACAGCATGCTTAAATATGGTAAATTTTGTGTATATTTTATCACACTCATACACACGTTGATGAAACATAAAACGTTTCCTTCCCACGGCAGTGACAACACTTACTTCTGACTCAGCCCTTCGGATGAGCAGTGGCCCAGGTGCTTCCTAAAGTCCCCTCACAAGGTCGTGGACGGCACATGTGCTCACCAACACTGGGTTAATGCTGTTTAATCTGATGCCTGGACGGGTAAGGCAGTCCCCGGTAGTGTGAAGTGGTGCTTGGGGAAATGGGGAAGGTTAGGGGGACAGACCAGAATGGTGGGCGACTCAGATACATGTGCACACCCTGGAGGGTTCTGCATGGGGCCGGCTTGGCCTCAGTGCTGTCACTGGTTGAAGCAGGCCTATGGCCTCCTGTTCTCTGACCCTCATCTAAATGGCTCCCATCCTGCATATTATATGGCATTATTGCTACTTCGAAACCCGAAATGTAAGTGTCCTCTTGGCAGCATAATCCGATACTTGGGCCTGGTTAACACAACTGGAAACAGACAGGAATCAGACAGGCAAACAGTGAAGGATGCCAAACCAATGCCCTGACATTTACATTCAAATTTAATCTGCAGTCAGGGATGCCACAACTCGTGGTCAAGCCAGATAACAGCTAATGTTCCAGGAGGACACGGGACATCTCCCTTCAGCTCCTCACTGTCTTAATAATGAGTGGACTCCCCCGGTGAGCTCTGGCATAACCTCCCCAGCATTTGAGGCTCCCGAGATGAGCTGCCCTGCCCGATGAAGGGCTCAGTTCAGAGCAGTGCCCAGCTCCTGGCAGGTGGGAGCTGGGGACTGCGGAGGGGTTGGGGCAGGCTGATCCCAAGCCCTGCCCACCATAAGGAAATGCAGGGTCAGCTTTCAGGACAACACTCAGCAATGTCCTTCAAACCCTGGTGCGCCCTCTTCTCGTAACCCACCCACTGGGACAACACAAACCCAGGCTTCACTGCCCATGTCCTGAACATCGCAGCCTGGGTTCGCAGCGGCTGCCATTCTCACAGGACAGAAGGGGGATGGGAAGTCCACCCTATACTCAGAAATGACCCCGGGCGTCTGGACAAAGGCTTTGCCTGAGACGAGAGTCTGGCCCTGGCTCTCGAGCCCTCAAAGAGGCCACATCCTTTAGGTCCAGGTTGACGGCACATGAGCACACAACTCTCCAGACCTTAAGATACAGAACGTGCTATACCCTTGTTGACCAAGCTTCCAGGGCCTGTGGGAGAGACCAGCCCAGCCTGGCTGAATTCTTGGAGATGGCTGTAATTGGAGTGTCTGCTGTCAGCGCACGGCCTAGCAGAGATGTCAGCCTGGGAGAAGGGCTCGCCCAGGGCACATTATGAGCAGGCCAAGGTGGGCCCAGCGCTGTGGGTGCAACCACCAGCGACAGAGGGGTTTCCTAGACCCCGGTCACTCCGCAGAACTCCCTCCACCCAGCTGCCTCCAAGCCCCAGACCTCATCCCAGACCCCCGGCCTAGGCCTTGCCCCCGCTGCCCATCTTTTGCCAGAGCACCCCAGCCCGGCCCCAGCTCCCAGCCCAGCCTC